TGCGGCCCTTGGACTTCCGCTTCGGATTCATGCTCAGAAGATGAGTCAGACTGGTGAAGACGGCTCATACTGTCACAAGGGGTGGGGCTGCAACAAGCTTTTGAGCGTTTTGAGCCTCGAAACACCTACCACGTGAAAATCTTTGCCATTTGCACGACTGCCGCATAAAACCCATGCATTCGGGAAGTTACAGTAATACCATTGTTTTTGCTCCTCACTACGTGGGTGTGTGAGTGAATCTAATTCACTCCACTGTCAAAAACTCAGTGATGTAACAGCACAGCCGACATCACTCAGCGAGGGTGCCGTCATCGCATGGCTGCAAGACCTCGGATCAACTCCTGGACTTGCACCAATCCTTGCGTCAAGCTCTGCAACTGCGTGGCCACAGCTGTGATGTCGCCAGTCCCGCTCATCTTGACTTCCTCAAGAAACGCCTGGTGCTGCAAGAGCTGTTCCAAGTTATTCTTGAGCTGGACCTTCAGCACTGTCGCCGCCTGTCCTGCGCTGGTGGATTGGTATGCCTTGCGGGAGGCCTGCTTCGCCTGGGACAACCAGGCAAGCGCATCATCGATCTTCTGCATTGCTTTTTCTGGTAGTGCATCAGCTTCAGCTCCGCCAGCCACGGCGCCAGCGCCTGAGCCACGACCGATGTCCAAGATGCTCAAAGTGCCTTCCAAGAAACAAGATCTGTGACAGCATTAAAACCCATTATTCAGAGAAGTGCTCCTTCAGAGAGGGTGTTCTTTCATAGTGTTTCTTTCAAAAGAATACAAACATAAAGTATTTTTCAGAGTGTTTTCTTGAGAGTTTCCATTCAGTGTTCTTTCAGAGAGTTTCAGAAATACTTTTTCGAGAGTTTCAGGAAAAGTGTTCCATCAGAGAGTTTCACAAAGAGTGTTATTTCAGAGTCCTGTCAGTTTGCTTTCAGAGAGTTCCTTTCAGAGACATGTTGAATAAATATTCTCAAAGCTAGGGTGTCACCGTTTCGTTTCGTTTCCCGGATATGCACCTGACCCAAGTGGCATCCTCTCCACGCAGCGCGAAGAAGCAGGCATTCCAGCGGGCGCCCTGTGCCAGGACGCAGGTCCCGCGGTGAGAGCGGGCATTCCGCTGCTGTCGTCGAGCAAACTTCCAAAGCTGGGCTTGAAGTTGTCCAGGAAGGCGCCAAAGCTTGACAACTCCTCTTTGCCGGCTGCTTGCACCCCAGACGACGCTGCGACTTCTTCATGCTTCCCATGTGTGCGCGTCACTGCGATTTCCTGAAAACAATAGAAAGTCTTTCCTTTCTCTTGCACAGGGACAACGTCCCCATCTCTCAACGCCTGCTCCAGCTGTCTCTCTCCCCCCAGCTTTGCCACAATGAGTGCTTTTGGTAAGCCACGCGCGGTTTCGGAACCGCACACCGATTGGTATGTCTTGGCAAGGGTGGCCACTGTCGGGTTGTCCAAGCAAAGTTCCCACTTCCCATCATCTTCAGATCGGCGCACGCAAGAGTGGACGAGTTTGGTCTTGTCCCGCCTGGAAACCTCTTTGGATTGGAAAGGCGACTGGATGTTCTCTGGCATTTTGTTCAACACCTTGCCAAAAAACCATGCCTTCTTCGGATCCCTCGTCTCATCTCCATCGTCAGCGGCGATGGGCTCTGGTCGCTCGACCTCGAGTAGCAAAGACTTTGCCTTTTCCTCATCGCGGCTTTTAGCCTTCGACACTTTTTCTTCCTTCTCCTGCTTCTCCTTCTTGCTCTTCTCTTTCTTTGCTTTCTCAGTTTTTTCCTTCTCCTTCTCCTCCTTTTCCTGCTTGGCCTTCGCCTTGGCTTTGCTCTTCCCCTTTGCCTTTGCCTTCCCTTTAGCTTTGGCCGTGGCATCGGCTTCTAGAACCTGCTCGGCTTCTGCAGCCTTGGTCGCACTGGTCGGTTTGTGAGCAGCAGGCCTTTTCATTTTCTTCGGTGGCTCTTCTACTTCTTCTTCGTTTTCTTCACCATCTGCTTCAGGTTTGTGGCCATCTTCGAGCTCAGCCTCCTTGTCCTCGAGCTGAGACTCAGCCAGAGCTTCAGCTGCGCCCAAGGCCTCTGACATGACCGCGTCTGCTTTAAGCAGTTTCACTGGGACCTGCAGCTGGAGCCTTGTGAAACCATTGCATGTACAACATCACGACGTAGAACATCACGAAACACGCATGAGGACATGTAAGATATTCCACATGTACTGTTTTGCGCAAACTAGGTCTACGAAGATCAATGAGAAACCTGTCGGTTCTCAAGACCACGCTCCATCAGTTGACGAGGAAATGGACCATATCGAAAAGCAACCATTGCCAATGACGATGTAGGTGTTTGCAGCGCAAAAGGAAACTGACACATTGTCTCATCTCAGACCTCATCAACTCCTCATTTGGGTGGAATGGACGCCCCAAGGCTGGCCATCCAGGTAGAGGCGCACGCAATTGTCCATGGTCTCTATCAGAGATCTCTTCACCTTGCACCATCAGCCGCACATAGCAAAGTGCTCGCTCCATGTCTTCCAGGTAAGCTTTCTGCAACTGCTGCTGATCGGCTTGCAGATAGTAGAGGACGATGTTTCGCCAGTTCTCGACATTGTTTTCCAAGTCTACGCCATCTGGGTAGGAGTTGTTCAAAATGCGTTTCACGTCTGCAGCGTGGTCCAACAAAGACATGGCGCAAGAAAATACCGAAAACTCACACACTATTGCAAGGGCCAAAACCTATACAGAGGAACTCTGACGTACACTCTCAAAAAGCTTCTAGAAAGACTCTTTGTAATCTAGAAAACCTCAAGAACACATTCTGGAGTGAACTCTCAAACAAAATCCTCCGGACTGAGCCCCCTGGAAACTCTCAACCATGAAACTCTCAATTAAAAGCCTCAAAACTCCTCTGGACTGAACGCCCCTCACAAAACTCTCCATGAAAACCTTCAGGAAAACTCTTTCAACCCTCCATGAAAACGCTGAAGAAAAAAGTGAAAACTTCTCTGGTCTGAATCCCCTAGAAACTCTCCATGAAAAGTCAAGAAACTCTCTCAACTCTCCATGGAAACGCTCAAGAAAACTCTCAAAACTCATCCGGCTGAATCCCCTGAAGAAACTCTCAATGAACACTCTCAGGAAAACTCTCAAATCTCCATGGAAACTCTGAAGAAAATTCTCAAAACACCTCCAGAAACTCTCCATCAAAACTCTCAGTAAAACTCTCTCAGACCTCCATGAACGCCCAAGAAAAACCCACAAAACTTCTAGAAACTCTCCATGAAATCTCTCAGGGAAACCATCAACTCTCCATGGAAACTCTGAAGAAAACTGAACCCCCTAGAAACCATCAACTCTCCATGGAACTCTGAAGAAAACTCTCGAAACTCCTCTGGAATGAACCCCCTATAGAAACTCTCCATCAACATTTTCCAGAAAACTCAACAAACTCTCAATGGAAACTCTCAAGAAAAACCCTGGAAACTCTCAATGAACGCTCAAGAAAACTGTGGACTGAACCCCTAGAAACACTCCAAAAAAACATGTCAATACTTGAAAATTTGGAAAATTCTAAAAGACCGAAACCTTTTTCAAAAGGAACAAACAACGATTAACCATTAACATATGGTACAAGTTTTACAAAAAACACTAAAAATAAGATATGTACTATCAGCGAAGATAAGATATATATCTTATCATCTAAAATCTTAAAACTATACATATATCTTATTATAAACTATTATCTTATCATCTCTAAAATAGTTTATTAATAGACTAAGAGGAGCCTAGGGGAATGTCCAATTGTTGCGCTGTGTGTTCTGCCATATCTTGGACATGTGTTGGGGTTGCCTGCTGCTTCAACAGTGTCAAAACGGCCCCTGCTACGAAGAACCGTTTCGTGCAGTTTGGAGCATCAGACGGGGTCCTGTCACGTCAGGGAATGCGGCGTCACAATGTGGCGTCAGGGGGTAATGCGGCGTCAAAGGGGCCATGTGGCGACAGGGAATGCGGCGCCAGAATGCGGTGTCAGGGGGGAATGCGGCGTCAGGGGATGTGGCGTCAAATGTGGCGTCAGGGAGTAATGTGGCGTCAGGGGAGGAATGTGGCGTCAGGGAAGAATGCGGCGTCAGGGGGTAATGTGGCGTCAGGGGGTAATGTGGCGTCAGGGAATGCGGCGCCATAATGCGGCGTCAGGGGGTAATGCGGCGTCATGGGGGAATGTGGCGTCAGGGAATGTAACGTCGCAGTACTAGGAAAGTGGCGCCATAACGTGGCTGCAGCGTCAAGGTCAAAAGCGGGATCCCGTCTGCCGCCGCCCTGTTTTGATGGCTGTGGGCTGTGAAGCATGGATTTAGTACAAAGCCAATAAGACAACTGTCTACATCAAACGCTCTCCCAGATGACTAGAAAAAAACATCCCTCCCTTGCTGCACATCGTGTGGTTTGGTGCATCAACCCAAGACCTTCTAAGAATAAGTCTTTTTCGACATTTATCCGGGCAGATGTGGTCGTTGTGTTGCCACGTTGCTTGACCTGTGTGGTCGATCCTGCCTGCGCAGAATGTGTCGTTTGCCGAGTAGTCAAAAGCAGAGTCATACCCCAGATGGCATGTACGAGACGAAGACAGAGAGAAAGGGTTAATTCTAGACATGGGCATGAGCAAAGACTTTCGTTGCGCCAAGTGGCTATGGCTGCGTCTCAATCTCGGAAGAGAGACTCATGCAAAGCTGCCACTGCAACCCCTTGATTTAACAGGAGGCAAGGACAGAAACACATCCCAGCTCTTCTAGAAGCGATGCCAAGGCAAGATATTGAAAAGGTTGGTATTCAAGGACTACCCCGGCCTGGTCTTGCCTAGCCTATGGTTCAGGGGCCCCGATCACACTGCCTAGTCAAACAAACCAGCAGACTCCACTGTTGTAGGCCACCTTGAAGTGTCCTTCCCCCACTGATAGCTCAAGAGGTAAACGCCAGCGTATAGATGCACACGTCCTCGGAACAGGAACAGAGAGAGAGAGAGAGATGTTTCTGGGCCTTTTCGCACGCATGACCAGGACGGCACTGAGAGTTGAAGAGCAAGAACAATGTACAATCAGATTTTTCATGTGCACTGTCATGGTGCTTTCAGCAACCCCGAAACAAGGGCATCTCTACTAGTATCTCCTGGCATCGCTACTAGTTCTTTTCGTCAGAGACACCATCGCTCCGCATCGGCCCGTCCGGTCCGGCCACGGCACGAGGTCATCTACAGTCCACAAGGCCGTACTCCAGAGTACCAGGAGACAGGTGGAGCTGCATGTGTCTCGTGCTGCATCTGGAGCTTGGATGTGGGTGGACATTGGCAACTCATGGGTTGCTAAAGGAGGTGTTATTTGCGGTGCCTTCTTATGTTGATGCAAGAACTTGAAGAACTCTTGCTCTTGCACCTTCCTTCAGCACCTCTCGTCATGTGATGGCCGGTCTCTATCTTCTAAAAGATGCGAGATCTCTCTCCTCCCATGATTTGGACGAGTCGCCGGTCACCGATTCTTCCGGTGAAACCACCACCGCCCTGTCACCACCTGCCGGTTCCATCGCCGGTTCCTTCCGACCGAGGCGTGCCGGAAGCAGCTGGGTTTTTCAACGAGAACCGGTCCCGGTGGGGGCGGTTTCGGAGCGGTGCGGGGGTCGGAGCGTTGGTGGGTTGGTGATGGTTGGTGATGGTTGGTGATGGTTGGTGATGGTTGGT